CAACCAATAGGGTCATCTAGTTTTTTCATTGTTCAACACTCTTGCATTAAGGTTAGAAGTGGCTCAACAACTTGGGGGTTTAGGCAAAATCTTTAAGTGACATTTTTCATGAAAAATTATAAAATAAAATTTAATTTACAGTCGATCATCACCGACGTACATCCATTGACGATTATCATGATAATATATAAAACAATCACTATTGATGCTTTAGTCAATGATCGCGGAGAATAATAATTTATCAAAAGTCGTCGTGTCCATATCTATGTTAAATCACGTTAAATGACGATTGGACAATTTCCTCAATAATAGGTTGGACCACTTGCTTTACTAGCTTTTCAAAGTATTAACTAATATAAGGTTAGGAATATAGGAGTAGAAGTCTTCGATATATGCTTTTTGTGTGAACCGGTTCTCAACATTGAAATCTTAATAGCTAACTTCTAAGGCTCCGTTTGGTATGTATTTCAGTTTTGAATTTTGAATTCATTTTTTTAATTTTTTATTTTGATGGTTAGTTTTGAAATTTTTTAAAACGCATTTGGTTTGTTATTTTAAAAGATTATTTCACAAAATAGAAAATTATAAAATACGTTTGGTTTGAAATTTTGAAAAGATTGTTTTATGACATTTTATTTCATGAAATGAAATATATTATTCAGTAAAAATGAGCAATTTTATGTAAATATATTATCAAGTACTATATACATTTTAAAGTTTTTGAGTCTTATAATAATTTTTATTTGTGTTCTTTTAAAAATTATTAGAATATTTATTTAAATAATCAATAATAGCTTGAACTATTTTTATTTTTCTAGAAATTTTTATAATTTTGTTTATTTTTTATTTTTAATTTTTTTTAAGTTTTAAATTTTATTTATTAGAATTTTATCTTTTATTTTTAAAAAAATTTGTTTAGCTAAAATTTTATTTAAACGCATGTTTTCCATGTTTTGAATGTTTTCAAATTTTCACTGTAAACACTCAAACGTTAGAAATCTATCTTGAGTTTTATGTTATAAATTTAATTTATTTTCGAAAATGTATTTTCAGTATTTTACAAAATTGAAAATTAAAAATAACTTGAAGACACCAAATCATACGGTGCCTAAACTTTTCATTAATGCGATGAAAAGTAGTCTAACCTAATAGAGTCCATTAAAATATGCAACTGTCAAAAGCATGTGATATTTTATTAAAGAATAATGTTAGTCATAAAGAAAACTATCGGTAGTCGTACTACATAGTATACGCATAAAAATTTATTATTTGATATACATGAGACAATAAAAAACTATTTCATTAATACATCAAATAATAAACTGTTATATGTATATTGCGTACACTTGGTAATTGTCTCCGTAAATAACATTATTCTTAAAAAGAGTAAGCATATGCAGAAATGGTCAAACGAGATTATCTATTAGAGCAGATCACATGACGGGGGGCCCTCGCTCTATTCTCAACCCAATCCATTCATCCATACTTTCTGGTGTGATTCACATGTTTTCCTTTTCATCCATTCTTTTCCTCCAAAATTTGGCACATTCTTCATTTGACTTTAATAAAATTTGGGTCATTTCAAATTTGTGGTCTTAATTTCGGTTGTAACTTCTAGGTAGTTTCATATATGACATGCTATGCACACCAGACAACATTTTTTATGTTGTTGAATAGTGAATTGGTACCAGTTAATCCTGAACCATTTTTTTAATTATTCTTTAACTATCGACAAAAAATCCTAAAATTAATATTTAATTAAATCTAAAAAAAAAGGGATAACCATTTTTGAAATCTATAATACCCCTTCAAAGAAAAAGAAGAATTCTATATTTTTCTTTACGACCCACTTGGTCAATGGTCACAATCACCGTTTTTCATGTCCATGTCTATATCGGTGTCATTCACCCTCTGTAAACATTGAAATCATTGTCAAAATATCATTCACGATGATTTATCACTTTTTAATATTATTTACCTACTAATTTGATTACATAGACATACAAATGTGATGATTTATTATTATTAATTTTTTTTGAAGGTTTTCAACCCAACAATTATAATTTAAATACAATAATTAACAATTTTACATTTTACACTCAAATAGTATAAAAAATAAAAATTATTAACAAAATACAGAGAGAGAGAGAGAGAGAGAGAGAGATGTTTAAAAATGAATATGGGCTGGGGCTGGACCATCTAGCCCCCTATATCCATACCTGGGTCAGAATTTTTGCTAGTAAATTAAACTTACAAAAAATAAGTTTTAGGCCTATTTGGTCCACATTATTTTTTTCATTCTCATTCTTCTACTCGTTTTCAATCATACATTCTTCAATAAAAAAATATTTTCCATCACAACAATAATTTTTCCTTCTTTTTTAACCACATATTCCCCTTCACATCAAAAGTAAAAATGAATTCTTACATTCAAAATGTGCATCAAACGGGAGCTTAATTATCAACGACAGTAAACTATGACTTGGAGTGTCTTTTAGTAAAACTTCATGAAATAAAATTTGCTCAAATTTGAGGCGTTTTCTGAATTAGAGGTAGTGGTGGCAAACAGGTTGAGTGGCTCGTCGGCTCTTGGGCGGCTCATTTGACTAGCTTGAGCATGAGCCGAGCCCGCTCGGGTTGCCCATGGGTGAGCGGTTCATGGGATCGTCCAAAATCGAAGGTTTATCTTTTATCTTTTTTTTTTTGAAAAAAAAAAGGTTTATCTGGAAAAAAAAATAAAATAAATGATGAGCTCGCGAGCCAGCTCGACCCGCCAGTTACAAACGAGCCACTAGCTCGGCTCGTGATGAGAACAAGTCTAGCTCATGTGTATACACTCGGCTGGGCTCGGTCCATTACCACCTCTAATTAGAGGTCTTAGCTAGGCGTCACCTCACTTATCTATAGATTGAACCAACTTTGACTAAATTGAAACACTTGCCACTTGCTTAGAGTAACCAAACCAACATTTTTACTGAAACTTGTGTCATGAGTTGAGTTTGAACACAATTAAACACTTTCCTTAGGCATCATCTAACAAAAACCTGTAACCAAACTAATCTAATAAATAATTTTTCGACACAGAAAGACCTACGTACTAAGAAGAAACGCATAAGAATTGAGAAAAGTAATTTACCTCGTTGATCATTCCAACCCTACCAACACATAACATCCTTTAGCCAAAGAGAAACCATTCTATTCCAATAAAGACATATTTAAATAATGGACTTTTATTGAAGTACTAAAGCCCTGTAGAAACAAGAACTTCTCGAAGCCCTATAAGAAAGAATTGACATGGAAAGTGAAAAAAATAAAATAAAATTGAGAGGTGAATAATCGAATTATATACTGGGGCTTATACTAGTTTTTTTAGGCTTACAGTTTGGGATAATTTTCACCATAAAACAAACTCATCGCACTTGATATGGAATAATATTGAACAACGCATTATTCTATCCAGTATTGTCCAATACTCTGAAGAAAAAGAAAAAAAATGACGAGTGTGCTTTGTAAGGAAACTGCAACCACTTGGGTGTGGTTAAGAATTATTAACTTTGCTAATGGTTTATCCAAGTATGGTCAATGGAAATCCTACAAAGCAATAAGAAATTCTTGATTGGAGAAAGGACAATGCTACGTACTTTTGTGTACATCAAGTTTGACACTCCCCTCACATGGGGTCGCGGGGCCCACTCCCCATCCACTCCCCATGTGAGGAGAGTGTCAAAATGAATGTACACTAAGGAGCGTACATTCATCATTATCCCTCACAATTTAAGCTGCCGAATCAGATTAATATTCGATGTCAATATCTGATCATAATCAATGGCGATAATGCAGAGCAACATACATAAGTAAATAAGTAATAGTGTCAAAATAAGTAAGTTTTGGATATAGTCTGCAAATGCTTGTGTGCGATAAAGGAGATAATAGACAGGAGTTTACTGTATACATGATAGTAGAGAGTTGACATAAGATGGTAAAATTTAATAAATTAAGAATTTTCAAATTAGCTTGAAAGACTCCAATAAATTATTGGAAGATTAAATTATTTTATTTTTTTTAAATAGCGAAAGCTCTTAGGGCGCTGTAAATTAATTGAGATAATTAGTAGCATATTGTTTAAAAAAGATAATTATGCAATATAAATTAATAACTTTAAAAATTTTAAAAATCTAGTAATAATGAAACTTTGAGAGAAAAAAAAAATGTAGATATTTAGACTCTGTTTGAGCCCAATTTTTTGAAAATAATACATTTTGAAATAGTATTTTGATGAAGAATGTGTTATTAAAAAATAAGAAAAAGTTTTAAATTTACTTGAAATATTATTTTATTAAAAAATATGTGGATAAAAATAAAAGAGAAAAATACATTTTGAAAATAACGAGGACCAGACAAGGACAGAATGTAATTAACAATGAGAAAAATTCATGGATCATATATTAATTTTGACATTTGCAAAAATCAGGTGCTAAAGTTTTAAAATTGCAAAAATCAGGTTTTACTTTTTATTAATTAATTAAATATTTAATTGTGCAATTTGGTGACAGATATCTTATTAATTGGTTAAAAATCAATATCAGGTCACATTTTATCAAAAAATTTATAGGTCACAATTTCTTTATCGATCACAGATCAAAAATTTTGTAGATCACGGATTATTTCGAGGTCACAAATCTAAAATTTTATAGATCACAGATTATTTTATTGGTCACATATCAAAATAATTATATGTCACATGTCACGTATTTTCAAATTTGTTGGTCACAGATTCTTTTTTTAGTTACAAATTATCAATTTTAAAGTCACAGTTTAATTGATAGGTCACACACACACACCCAAAAGAGCTACCACCGCCGTTGACCCCGCTACAACAATAACAAAAAACGACCACCACCACCACACGACCACCGCCACAGATCCACCACTGTTATTCAACTTTAACGTGATAGCTATTAGACAATCCAAAATATCATTTATGCACTTTATAAATGGAATCATACCTTCCATATTTCATCATCAGAATACAACCAAGGGGGGTCAACATTACTTCTAACAGTTCCCTCGAATAGGACAGGTTCCTGAGAGATGATTCCAAAACGAGACCTAAGATCATGAAGGCCGAGCTTGCGTATGTCAACCTCTTCAATTATTATCTTCCCACCATAAGCTTCTACCAACCTAAAGTAGGGCTGTAAGCAAAAATCGTCAAATCGAAAAATCGAACCGAAACCTCATTTTAGAAACCGTCGTTTGGTGCCACGCGGACCCGTCAACGAAATGGTTTTGAATCAAACCAAACCGATCAAAAACGGTTTGGTTTAGGTTTGAGAGTTTTAATTACAGTTTAAAACCAAGCCGAACATGCGAAAAAATATATAGAAGTAAAATATGAATTTTTTTGAAAAATCCAAATATGTAAAATTCAATAATTTTGTCATGTGTGAGTATTTTTGTTAATTTCTAATTTTCTATTACATATATATTATTATTACCCAATAATCCTAATTTATATCTAAAAATCTCAAGACTAACCTAATATATCAAAAGTCATTTTTCTCTTCAAAATTCAGATGAACTTTAGTCGATATCCAACACAGCCTTGAGCCACCAGCACCACACCAAATCGGAGACAAAGAGATTCTGGGTCTTCGGTGATAATATTTGCTACGAATAAAGTTTTAGATCAATAATATTTTTGAACAAACTGAGGTAAGAAATTTGAAATTATATGGGTTTCGCATTTCTCTCAACTATTGGATGATTGTGAAATAAATTTATTCACTTTGATAGAAATGGTTTATCTACTATGTACATGATTCTATTCTATTTGTGTAGACATACTCTTGTTTTGTGAAGAGGACCATTGACAGGCAGCTGCGGCGATGAGTAGAAAAAAGGATTTAAGAGACGCCCGCATAGGCCATGGCCACAACACTCAAGCCCAGAATGGCCTGCCTGTGACCGAGTTTTACACTTAGGTTCTATTTGATATGCACTATTTTCCAAGTTCCAACTTTTTGCTTCTTTGATAGGTAAAATTTTCTTGACAAATGGTTTTCCCCCAAACCCCCCACGTGACCCCCTTTTCTTGATTTTCATTGAATTGGTTTCCCACCGTTTTGGTAGGAAGGTAGTTTTCCACCTTTTTTTAGCAATGAAAACAAATTATATTTCCAATTGTAATAAATTATATTCTTTTAATGAATAATTTTCATGTAAAATAAAACCAAACAAACACTAAAAGATCCAAAATTTCGATATTTTCCACGTGAAAAATTATACTAATCAAACACAATTAATTGATAATTCTCATAAAAATAATTCTAAAAAATTCAATTCCCTAGAATTCATTTTCTTTTCACTCAAATTCCTCTCTTGCCATCAAACGGACCTTTAATGAAACTAAGTCTAAAAGTGTGTTTGATTGACACGAAAAATACATTCTAAAAAAGAAAATATTTTCCTTATTTTGAGTGAAACAAAAACTTACTTCCCCCAAAGGAAATGTTTTCCTTAAAAACAAGAAAATTTGGGCATATTTTTAAAAGTTGAAAAATATTTTCCATGAAAAAAATAGCAACCAAACACTTCAAAGTGAGAATTTTGGTGAAAAACTGACATTTTCATGGAAAATAAATACAATTAAACACACTCTAAAAGTTATAAAAGGGTTAATTAACCAATGACCACTCAATTTCACATTTAGTGTCACATTGGTCACTCAATTTGATTTTATTTTACCATTGTCATCAAACTTCATATTAAGTGTCACATTGACCATCCAATTTTATTTTGTTTTACCACGACCATCCAATTTCATACTTAGTGTTACATTGACCACCCAATTTGATTATGTTAAATAAAATTACCGCGTAGCTTGACTGAAATTAAGTATGAAGTTGGGTGACCATAATGAAACAAAATCAAATTGGTGGTCAACGTGACACTAAGTATGAAGTTAGGAGGAGATTGATGAATTTAATCCGTAATAAAATGGACTGGACTGCCTCTTTCCGGTCTGGATCTACTCCGCTACAAATGGAACCTTTCTGTTTGATGGGTAGAAATTAGAATTCTTGTTCAGAATCAGTTCGGTCGAATTCTTGTAAAAATTAGATCGAACTGAACCGCGCCTGGCGCTATTTATTCCACTTGAGAGGGGAACTAATTGATGGAGAACAAAAATATGGACAATGACCGGGCCATCATTCAGGTGCCGACGTGGCACCATACAATTGGAGGGGGGGCTGACCGACCTCAGCCCCCCCCCCAATCACAGGGCGCAACCTCGACGCCCTGTCAAATGCCCCGGTCATTGAGCCGGGGCATTCAGTTTAATCTTTTAATCCTAAATGGACAGTGCTAGATGGCCCGGCTCAATGACCGGGCCATCATACAGGTGCCGACGTGGCACCATACAATTGGAGGGGGGGCTGACCGACCTCAGACCCCCCTCCAATCACAGGGCGCCACCTCGGCGCCCTGTCAAATGCCCCGGTCATTGAGCCGGGGCATTCAGTTTAATCCCAAAAATATAGGAGATAGCATGGGCCCGACATACTATCTCCCTAGCTGGCATGTACATACTCCTATCACCTATGCAAGTAGTGAGAGTACAATTGTAGTCCAATAATTGAAGTACAAGACAACAAATATTAGGCAAGTAAAAGTGAAACTTTTTTACCAAGAAAATAACAGTTCTTTCTCTTCTCTGATTAAGTAAATGTGAACAACGAAGAAAGTCAAACTGATGGCAATGTTTGGCAAATGGAGAGAGAAATTATTTTGCAACGGTATTTCGATACACTAATAAACATGAAATTCTTGGCCTCGTGGCTTCACAGGATTCCTATATGACCAAAACTTAAAAATGCAGTTACCATGCTAGCTAAAGGAACAGAGATATTATCGTCCATTAATCCTCCGGTTGGAAGGGACTCTACAACGGTTGCCACAAATGAAACCAAAGCTACCGCTTCTATTGTCTGGACCCAATCCAGCTGAAAGTATCCAAGGATTGAAAAATAGTAGAGCATCCTACAATCACAAATGAAGTGTCAGTGGTAGAAACCGTAAAGGAACAACATTTTAAACATATATGCCAGGAAAATAAAAGGTTCTAAAGTTCATACATACCCGACAGAAACTAGGAAACCAAATAAAAACATTGACACACTACCAGCCCAACTCTTCTGCCGATTGTAAGGAATTTTTACTGAACCAAATCTTCTTCCCACAATATCAGCAATACCTACAATTCGGCAAGTTGAAAGAGTTCCATGAACGAATACAAAAGTAGATTTGTAAGGCAGAGCTCTTACCATCCCCACCGCACATCATTGCCAATGAAATCACTCCAATTGGGGAGTCACGCCAGAAGACAATTGCACATAGAATCAATACTAGAACATAATAAAGAGGACCTCTAAGCAATTCCCTGTAAAGAAAATGTTGATATTATATGTTAGTATATTACAAATATTCACTTGCTATTTAACAAGAAATTCATTGAATGACAAAATTTAAGATCCTCGAGAATTACTCAGGCTTTCCCTCTCGGGTAACTGATTTGATGAGTCCTTCATCAGTAGCCAAGGAAAGACCGTGTATTACAAGCCTTAAGCAATTTATAAGAGGAACTAAAGAAGCAAAGTAGCGAGCTCCTGTCGATGTGCTATCTAAGATCAAAATAATCAGTTGAAGTCTTTGAGAACACAAATATTAATTAACAGAAATGCAGACTGTAATGTCTTCAACGACAAAGAAGGTACCTGAAAATTGGCCAGGCAGCCAAGAAGAGCAACCCCGAAAATATGTGGACCAGTTTTCTGCTCAAACTCTGTTCAGGAAGTAGAGGAAAAAATAGATATCAGCAAGAGACGAAGGATAGTTAAATAATTAAATTGCATGAGAAAACTGTTTCATATAGAGGAGTTTTGCAAATTCTACTTTGAAAGTAATTGTCCTCCTCTCCTTACAAAGATGAAAACTGACAGGCAAATCACTCAAACTGCAATTCAGTGAGTATGTACTTCCCGTTCAGAATGACCATTACCGTCTTACTGATATCTAGCACACAAGAGTTCATCTATTCCGAAAGAAATAACCTTAATTCTGGCATTTTTACAGTGTCACAAAGCAGAGAAACACTGTTTAGTTTACTTATACATGACAAAGGAGATATTGACTCTAACCCTACAAAGTTTAGTCAAGAACACTATGATCTTTCATGTTTTATTCATCACAAGATTAGATAATCTGATGATAACTTTCATGCACTTGTACTATGATCCTTACGCATTATTTCGTAGTTAGCATTTCAATTTATGACCTTAGTTCAGTGAAAACTTGGGATGGTTTCAAGAAATTCAACTTTGTTGATAATATATTTTTCCTTTTTACTGTTTGGATAAGACTCCAGCAATTACCAGATAAGGAAAACATCGCTTGCCTCTTGATTATTCATATTCCGAAGTGGAACGAACAAGCATGTCCCATCACAAGGCGAAATGATATAACCCACATCTTGTGATCGATTGGGCACCCAATATATATGACATCATAATTCATAGTGGTGCTGGTGCTAAAATCACATTATTGTTCCAACTTCCAACATCATGTAAACCGGTGATTATTGTACCATGGGTTAAGAGTTGCACCAGTATGACAATTTTTGGATAACGCACTCATGGATCGTGTGCTCAAAATGACCTACTCTGGTGTAAACCTTTTCCATGTCATGCTTTGGTCTCATACAGAGCAGTTTTCAAAGACAAAATTCAAATCTATGTCAGCTAAAATCAACTAACTGCATGTTTTCCTATATGTTCCACTTCGACATTTTAGTCTAATCACTGTCTGAAAAATCTTTATCCCACTCAGGTGTCGGATTTTCATCTAATTTATTGGCTATAAAGTATTCTGTTTGTTTCCAATTTTCATCTCATCTTAATGCATTTTCCTACCGTTACAAACAGGTGCAGCAGTTTTCTTTTTTTTTTTACCATTTTCTCTCACAATGTCCCCAAAAAGTTTGAAAAAAAGGGTACAAAAATTCATTTTTGTTCCAGGAAATGGGAAACAAACAGGGGCGTGTGACAATATTCAAAATGTTTATAAGCACTAGAGTAGCTTTTTGTTCCCAAAAAATCACTATTACAGGGAAAATTCAGTCTTCCCCTTCTGTTCTGTTGGGTAAATTTATCAAATTACGGACATATTTTCTACTTCGCAGTATCCAAATATAGTGCAAGGACGGAGACAAATTGCAGAGATAGAAAATTTATCACTCAATTAGTATCTTGAAAAACCAGATCTATCTTTCAGTTTCTGTGCACCCAAAACTATCATCTCAATTTACTAACACACACACAGGTATTTTTCAGCGCACACTGGCATGCACGTGCATGTGCAATGGGAACTGGGAAGTGAAGATACAGATAAAGGCAGGTGACCTGTTCGATGAGGTTGCGTCGAGTTAGGTTGTCGAAAGTAGATACAAGAGCGTAAGCACCGCCCATCACCAACACCGTGGCGCCAGCGTCCTGGAGCATCGCGCTACCATCTCCGACGGCGTATAGCAAGGAGGCGCGAGAGCGGAGATTACGGGAAAGTACTGGAAATTGCCTTGTATTGTACCTGGGGAGAGCTATTAGAAATCGCGAGAGGGTGGATGGTGTTGTTACGTGGCATTGGAGGAGAGAAAAGCGGAAGTAGGTGGTGGATTCGGCGGCCGGTGAACCAAGGCGCACAATAGCACTGTATGCCATCTCTCTTACACGCAACACATGTAGCTGTGTGGATGATAAATGACGCAGCTGGAACTGTTGAGACAGGATTAGTTGCTTCATCATTTATTTATTTTAACGTACTATCTTAATTTTTAATTATTGTCATTAATTAAGGGTTATTTTGTCATTTGCATCGTTAGGGTTAATGTACAATTACCACTATTTTAATTTCTAAGAAGACTAAGGCCCTCGATATGGCCCAATCTTAACGTACGACAATTGGGACAATTGTTGTGACACGAAAGAAATATAAAGTTTAAAAAATAAGATACAGACGTGATCGAGTTAATTTAACATAGTAAGTGACTTCCAATTAGTCAATGTGTAAATTTAACACAAATTTTTAATGAATTTTACTAAATGTACCCAGGCGTTTACATGTCTGGGTACAGGACCTCACCGCTCGAGGTGAATAAAAGGGGCGTGGTGAACAAAATAATGGGCGCCCCCTCACCATTCGATGGAATGGCTAGCATTTCAATTTCATCAAAGGTCCCCTTTTTTTTCACACAAACAATGCATTTAAAGTGAATTAACTAAGGTGTGGAAGTTCCTTTTTGACTGATTAAAAGAGTGGGGAAAAATTAAAGTAAAGACAAAATCAATTTCCAAAGTTGCAAAGATGAAATTTAGAACTTGAGAATGTTACGGCGATTTCAATCAAAAATGGAAATACTAGAAATAGAAATTGTATTCTACTCCGTTTCGAGTACAATTTTTGAATGCGATGGTACTCATCACTTTGTACTACTGTGTATGTACAAGGTACATGTCTCGTCCTTTTTGAAATCTTTCAAGTAATAGATTTAGGGGAAATGATGTTACGGCATGATTTACAGCCCACCTCACATGTGAGTAGGCCCATCATGAATAAAAAATTCATGGGCCCTCTCTATGTGAGGAGACTGCAAGCATGATGTACATGTAGTAGTTCTCTAAATTTAGCCATGTTTGGTGTGATTAAAAATTTGATAATAATTTAAATCAAAGCTAATGATTAATTTTAATCATACATATTATGAAATTCACAATTTTTTAACCACATATTTTATCAATTTTTATTAAAATCTATTAAAAATTTTATTTTTAGTTACACCAAACGGGGACTTAAACTATTACTTATGATATTCAGAATATGTTGAGAATTTAAAAATGATTGAAAATTCACGAAATAAATACCAGATAGCCAAGATTTGAGGTTGATTTTAGTCCAATAAATGAATTACTCGTTTTGACAATTTTTTTTTTTCTTTTTATCTCAACTTAGAAAATTTAGTTTCACAGGTTGAAGTACTTGGGGGAACATAAGTTGGCTTGGCAATGTTTTGTGCATACAATAAACATGCAATGTCTTGTACTCATGATATCTTAAAACTGCCTTGTATGACCTCGACCGAGGTTTTTAATTCAAAACTCTTGGGGAAAATATGTGATTGACGTACTTTTTATTTATACATTCGGTGAAACTGAACTTTTATTTATATAATGAGTTAATTGTTTCATTAGCCACTGAACTTTCATACATGTCACGGTTTACCCACTCACCTTTAAAACTTATCCCACTGGCCACTCAACTTTAAACCGTCCAACTCCATTGGCCACTGGATCAAAACCGTTAGTAACGTTGTTTACGTGGCTGATGTAAAGATGCCGTTGCACGTTAAATTCC